ATTCTAAAAGATCTTTGCCGATGTATATGGAAAGTACTTTAGGCTACAGGGATTTCTTGAAAGGACAGAAATCACAGAGATATCTTCTGCCTATGAAACACAGAGCAGACAGGGATTTTCATTAACGCAAGCTTGGAAACAAATGCTCACAGAACTGAGAAACTAAAGAGTGCCAACTAAGTGACTAAGTCTCCTCCACCTTATTTCCTAAGAATTTACGCATTAATTTTATTTTAAGTCTATGCTCACCACCCACACAACCAAGCATGAGTCAGCAGTATATAAAAAACACAACCTTGTTGTGGTGACCGCTGACCACACAGTGGGCTGAATAAGCAAGAATGTAGCCAGCACTTCAAGGGAAGTGATTATCTTCCTCCATTCAGCACATGAGACCTCATTGGCACTACTCTGCCCAAGGTTGGGCTCCCCAGTACAAGTGAGATATCAGCTTACCAGAATGAGACCAGTGAAGGGCCACCATGATGGCTGGGTCCTGGAGCACACTAAGTACCAGTCCAAGAGAGCTAGATTCAGTCTGAAGAAGACCAAGGGCAGGGAGGATCTTCTTGCTGTCTTCAGCTCTGTGATGAAGGTGCAGAGAAGACAGAGCCAGACTGTTCTCAGAGACGTGCTGGGAAAGGAGAAGAACCAGCCATCAGAAGTTGGATCAAGAGAAATTTCAGTGAGATCTTGTCACGAGCAAAACATGTTTACTGATTCAGGGAACTTCCATAAATGTAATTTATTTGCCAGTTAACAATCTATTAATTACTGATTCTGGGATCAAAAAAGACTGAAAACAACCCACCAACCTTTAGGAAACCCCCCCCGCTTCCCTTCAGACACCTCTTCCCCTGACCCTTTTTGCTCTTCAGCTCTCACCGATTGTGAGGTGGTAGGCAGTGCTGGAGACTGGGGCCAGCGTGTGCGTGGTGGTTCCTTCACCTGCAGCAGCACCTTTCGAGCTGCCCCTCTCAGCTCCTGCTCAAGCAGCACCTTGGCTCCAGCCCCTGCCCCGGCGGGGTCTTCTCTCTTCCCTCCTTCCTGCTCCAGCCCGGTCTTTTCCCCTCCTTCTCTTCCTGCCCTGGCCTTGTTCCTCCTTTCGCTTGGTGTTTACCACCCTTACTTTAGGACATTTTCACACAGCTGCCACAGACCCCCTGAGGATGGGCTCAGCTGTGCCCTGCGCTGGGTTCACTCTCCTCACAGAGGTTGCCCTGCAGCCCCGCTACCAAAACTTTGCCAGTTATGAGGGGGAAAAACTCATGATGAAGGTAGTCAAACACTGGAACAGGTTGCCCAGAGGCTCTGGAGTCCCCATCCTTGGAGGCAGTCCAAACCAACTGAACTAAGCCCTGAGCAGCCGGGCCTAACGCCCACACCAGCCCTTCCCTGAGGGGGCTCGGATGAGATCAGTGCCAGAGGACCTTCCCAACCCAAATTATTCTGTGATTCTACAAATGGTTTTAATCACTTCCATTCTTAGGAAACATTTGGAAGACAGAGGAATACAGAGACAGACCAGAACATGTTTGTCTCTGCATTACTGAGGACAGCCTACCCTTCAAAATAAATAATTATTCTCACAGAGTTTGTGAGCAACAAAGACAGGCAGGCACAGCTCGAGCAGGAGACGGATCCTGTTTCAAGTAGAGGGAAACGGAGGCTGAGGCGGCAAAGTGAAATAGAGGTTTCAAACGAGCAAGGTTGCAAAGCGGGGAGTCTCACCAGCCAGGCATATGTTGTTCCTTAATTTCAAAGCACTGTGCAGAAAGTCCCCCAGGCTAGAAACTGGCCCCGCTGTGGAAGAGAGAAGGTTCTGGCACCTTGGTTTGAGGGCGGGCTGGTGCCCAGGTCTCCTGTGCTCCTGGGAAATGATCTGACCAGGGGTGCTGTGCAACAGGCAGGTAACTCCACCACCTGAACGGGACCTGCCTGTTTGTTTGTCTGTCACTTGGTTTCTTACGGCTACTCTTGACTGGTTTATGTGGGCCTGAAGTGGACGATGTACCAATGTTAGGCACATTCTGACACCATCTAGAGAGGAGGCCATTGGGGATATTAGAAATGAATAAACTGGATTTCTGGGTCCCCACAGATCTTGTCAAGAGCAGGAATAGCACCAGTTATGCCTCTCAGCTCTCTTCTTGGCATGCCAGGTACATATCTGCTTTGCTTGTCACCACTTCATTACCATCAGGAAACACAATGAAATGTGAGATTGTGAGTATTTACCTATGTGGCAATATTCCCAAACTGTAATTCACTGGAAACTCACATTGAAACTTCCAGAAAAGGCAATGTAACCAATCAGGACAGAGGTTGTGCCTTCACCCAAAAATGCAGGAAAGCTTGACTTGCTGGGAGTCCTGTAGTCCAGTTCCTGGCCCTGCCCCAAGCAGTATTTCAGATTTTATCTTATTAGAAGTTAATATAAAATACATGAATAGGCCAAGGAACAAGGACAAGAATCCAGATTCTTGGAGAGAAGATTGGGACATACCTCTTGCTTGAAGACCACTCTGAACTGAGAGTTGGTGGAGCCATCTTCCCATGCCACAAGTCAGACCCCAAGCCTCAGAAAGAGTTAACCTAAAGGCACTTACCTGTGCCCAATGTACTGGGTACTCCGATCGGGCAGTTCCTGCCACCAGGCCATTTCCTACCTCCTGATCATTACCAGAGCTTGTCTCCAGCTCCTGAGGAGCCAGAAAGAAACTGGCTATGACAAGTGGTCAATTTTTATTTTCTGCCTTGTTGAGCTTAAAAAACCTAGTAACCCTTCACAGCTGGTTTGGGGTTTTTTTGTTGTTTTTTTTTTACAGTGAAAGCATTTAGCTGGACACTGTCTTTTCAGGTCTGCTGCAATGTCTGTGGATCATCCACAACCTGGTCCACTGCCAGGTTATCCTAGAAGCCTTCTTGGTGTCTGGCTATAGGGATAGGTGTGTCTCTGTAGCTTATTCCCAGACACAGGTCCATTTTTCTCTGGAGTTATCTCCACGTAAGAAAGGCTATCTTTTCCAGCTGGGTAACTCTGACAAGAATTCATCAAGGGTGTACGTGACATCAAACAGCTCACTCCTTTTCTCTGAAAACAAATTCCTCCTATGTGAAGAGCTCTTACTCTTAACATGATGTAAATCCGTTCAAGGAAACAGATAACAGAACATGGGAGAAGCTACCAGTTGGGAGCTTTAAAAGTTTTTTATTCATTAAAAAACTTTGATTTTGACAAGTTAGGAGCTACAGGAAATAGCTTCTAAGTGCCTGTCTCCCACAGAGAAATTCAGAACTGACGTACCTTCCTCAGAACACCTGTGCATGGAAAAGGGAATCACCAGAATCCAACCTGTGCTAAATGCTGGGCACAGTGGGAGATCTGTAATGCTGCTCACAGCCTGGCTGCCTGTTTTGTGTTCGCAAGCACAAAAAGTGGCAAGCCTGTCTCCTTAGGATGAGAGAGAAGAAATACCTACAAGTTTTCTTTGCAAGTACTGGCAGCACAGAAGAGAGTTGCTTCTCTCAAAGAAGGGCAAGAAGATGAAGTGCCAGTCTGTAACACATTAGCTAATTGCCTAGACACCTCTCCAGAAGTGTCACATCTGAGCTTAATGTTCTCCTCAGCCTGAAGGCACTCCAGTCACTGTCACTTACCGGTGTCAAGAATACCAGGCTGCAGGGTGGTTTTTGGCCTTGGAAGGATGCCTTCGATCATTGTTACTGCATGAAGCTCTGGCGTACCACACCACTGAGATTTTTGTGGCTTGCCCATTGCAATCACTAAACCTTGTTTCAAAGTCTGTTTCGTTTCTCCAGCTCTCCCTCCCGTTTCGTAAACTTGTTTACCGAGAGAGCAAACACAGCAAGATGTACACTTGTAACTTTCTATGTTTCGCTGCCACGCAGAAGAATGTGGTGAAGTAACGACTGCAGTGGATTTGGATGAAAGTGTAAAGCAAATGATGAAGTCTGGTAGATGAAGCGCAGGAGCCGGGCCTGCAGCCCGCCCAAGGGAGCCGGCCAGCACGGCGGTGGGACCGTGCCCCGGGCAGCGCTCAGCACGACGGGAGCTATAACGGCACCGAAACCGCGGCGGGACCGGGCTCCTCGGCGCCGGGGCAGGTCCAC